GCAGGGCAACGAATAGATGTAAATTAATTACGATAGGCATGAAGGTACAATATAAGTAACATTAACTAGGTACATGACTTTCAGAAAAAATCCGATTTTGTGTCAAAATAACTATATATTAGAACAATGTTATATATCAATCTAATACAAATCCTTAGCGCATTCGAGACATGAAAAACGCAAGTTAAATTTACATTGTTCTATACATAATGCGTTACTAAAAGAATGTTTGTATGTTACACATACAACATATTTTTCCTCGTATGATTATGCATATCATTTCTTTTATTATTACAGTATATATGTGACAATGTATCATTGCCTATATGTTATTTTTATATCGTAGTTATTACAGATTTCATTTTTATTACTATATTTTGAATATTTCATTATCATTGCTTTTTTTCTTTAATTTTTAATTTGTGCATTAAATAATACTTCTTGATCAGTTTTCTTCCTTACTTCTAATACCAAAAATATTCAAGCAGCCAACGAACGGTTAAAGACAATTTCGATTATTGCAATAAAGAGCAAAACTGTGTAATTTCTTGCGTGTAATATTTTTTGTTCATCCATTTCACGTTAAGAGCATTAAATTAAATTTTTAATAAAGTCTTTCTTTCTTGAAATGAAAGAAACTAAGATTTACGAGCAGTACTTATGAACGAAGAAGATGAGAAAAGAGAGCTATAAGAGAACATTTGATATCAATATCGGTTGTGTGGACAAGTAGAAAGTAAAGACTAAACCATTAAGCATCTCCTTTGGAATGAAAGGCCATTTCTATTGTAAATCTGAGCCTTAGTTCTAAAACATGGCCATGACTTTTACGAGAAGAAAGAGAGTCAAGTGGATTATTTCAAGAACTTCACTCAAGCACTTACTACATCTTGGAAGTGAGGCTGATCTTTATCTTACTCAGCTTCCGCTGTAGACTAAACAGAAACGTTGTTTATTTAACTCTCATTCTGTTTTCTCTTGCAACAAAAAAAATACTTTTTTCGCTTACAGATAGTTATTCAGTATTCTCAAGCAAAATTTCACTATCCTTTTCATTAGCAAAATGAGAAAATAATCCTGTTCTTCAACATAATAAAAAAAGTAGTTAGCTAATACATACGCATGACAATCAGAGTTCAGCATCTCCTAATGAAATATCTATAACAAGTGCCTTGTATGAGTGGTCTTGTTTGATTTTTCATAGTAACCGGAAACGATGTCTGAATGGGAGTGTTATTCTATAAGGCATAGATGATTTATCAGTCCAAAGTTTGATTAAAAATAAACAATACCTTTGATATGAAAAACTATCTCAAACATGCCTCGAGTCAAGAAAACTATCTCATTTTAAGAAAACTACACCCAGGTCTTTGGAAAATGTCTACCTACTTGGAGAAATTTCGGAATTTCATTTAGATTATCTTTCCATGTTCTTTGTCTTTGCGTAACTGTAGTAAGCGGCTTACATGACTTATCTGGAACTGTTAAAACAGCGAAGCTTTTCTAGGAGATTCGAATCATATTAATTAAAAATATTATTGACCTATTTTTAATTACCATAACATTACTTACTCTAACACTCCGTGTGTTTTTACTGGACAACTATCCAAGCGTACCAGACCAAAATGTTCGTCTGCTGTTCAACAAATACATTTTCCATACACTTCGTAGGTTTTTGTTGGAGAACCGTCCAAACGTACGCTGAACAAAATGTTTTTGCTGTTCAATAAAATTCACTTTTGATCTAATTCTAATCCTAATGCGCCTATTCCAAAGTAAGCATGCCGCATGGACTATCTGACGAAATTAACGGTTCTTCTTGGCACAGTGGTATTAAAGAAGGATCTCATTCACAGTCTGCAAACATATATTTTGTCCTGTGAACCCTTCTCTGAAATTTTAAATCCTAGAACTCGTATTAAATAAAAAAATTATAATTATGGTTATGTTTTTAAAAATATTCAGTCTAATGTAAGATCTCTTAAAGAATATAAAATAAATTCTCTTGAAAACAAAACAATTAGGAATTGAAACCTGGGAGAATAGGGTCAATTTTATAATTACTATATAAAACTGCAATTAAAATATTCTTATCATTTTTCAATAAAGTTTCATGGATATTCTCACAGTTAAACATACCTTTGAGAATAAAGAATGCCATATCTAAATTTTGAGTCTTTACAGTATATTTTATAGAATATTTCAGGATCCAATTCTATTGAGTTAGGTTTATTAATCATAACGATCTATTCACAGAGGTGGGCTTTACCTAAAGGTCTTTCTAACAGCAATTGCTAATATGTTGTTCATGAGCAGTTCATGAGATCTAGAAATAACGGAGACTGGGATGCTATTTCATCAGCCCCAAAATGCTCGCGATATAGTTAAATGATGCATTTCTATATTTTTTTATCTTGAAAGATTTATAAAGTATTTTTCTCCAGCGTGTCTTCGTGGTGTAGTGGTTTCGCATGCTGAGCTGGTATTCCAGAGCTCCGTGGTTCGATTCCCGGCGAAGGCGTTGCTTTTTTTTCAATCTCTCTTGCTTCCAAAAAATTCTAATGTCTCTACAAGTTTATTGAGACTTTCATTATTTAATTTAGGACTGTTTACATAATTTTGCACCTAAGTGTGCTAAAATAAAAGATGCACAGCTAAAATTTTCTCACAAGCAACATATTCTACATTGCAAAACATAAATGCGATAATGTAATTCTAAATAGGAATTTTTGCTATTTCAGAAACGTTTAGAAACCTAACCCAAAGCCCAACGATAATAACGCAAATCATTGTAAAGGTATCAATTATGGGGAAAAAAATAGCATCATTGAAGAAGAACTGTCTTAGATGCATTATCAAAATGTCGCGAATGAGGTCAACGTTCCAAGTAACCGAGTAATTTAGTTTTTGAAATAATGTTTCTCCACATATCTAGCCACTCAACGTTTTGTCTCATGCATTTCTTAATGCAATTTCTTTACCACATGTCTTTATTACTAAGGATTCTGCAGAAAATCGATATTTGTTTATCTAATCGCAACTAGAAAGCAACGAAAATCCTTATTTCCTGGACAAAAAGTAGGGGGAAAAAACAATGAAGCCTCCTAAGCTCGCTAGGAATAAATTATTCTAAAAGTAAATTAAAAGCTGCGTGAATAAAGTAAACAGCTGAAGCGCAGAAGAAAGAAAAAAGGAAAAGAAAGAGGAGTGTATCGTGTTGTTTACTTTGATCTGAAGTTTTCTCTTGATGATTCACGTGAAAGAATCTGTATTTTTTAGATCGCGTTTATTATTCGTAATTTACCTCTAGCTTTGTTACAGTTATTATGAGTTTGACGGTCGATGATACTCTAGAGAACACCTTAAGATGCGTTTTATTGTCGTTAAAAAGAATTTTTTTTTCTAAAAGATGGGAAAACACAGTTTTTTATGAGCAGTATGGCATTGTGTTACTATGGTTATACGAATAATGTTTCAAATTTATGGAAGAACTGTATTTGAAAAAACAGACAAGAAAAACTGGTTGGAGTGTGAATTTTAAAAATTTGGGATCTTTTAGTTAAAAAAGCTTTAGTCCTACACTTCGCTTTTTTAAACTTAATGGATAAGATTAAAACAGATAACAAAAGACGCCATAATACTATGTTGTTGTAACTAACACATCTCCAATTCTAAGCTTCCAGTTTATGCAATAGTGTTATAAATTTTGACTTGCTTTGCTAGCATAAACTAAGTGAAAACTTCTAACAGACTGAGAGCGAATTATTGCTGTGTCTGAAGTTAACGGCAGACAGTTGAAAAGGTTTAAACAAACCTTTTTTTATGAGAACTTTTAAAACAACTGCACGACTCATATTTACAAATCAGCCAATCACTTGTGACGATGTAACTTAAATAGTAAATTCAAATATTTCAGATTAAAACTTAGTAAGGCAACATAAAAAAGATTTAACGCGAAGTTGGCTCAAAACTTCATACCGGAGTAACAATTCAAATAACGGCAACTGTAATGCAAAACAGAATAACACTATCTTATCTAAGATAGATAGAAATTTCCTTTAAATACTATCTCTTTCTATTTCATTTATATTCTGGTAAGGAAACAGAAAGGAGAGGTGACAGTAAAGATCCCGCACAAAAAATATCTAAGTGAAAAATAATAATAATAACCCTAAAGTGTATGTAATTTATCTCTTCAGGTATATAATTTAGTGCATGGATTAGTGATGATTATATATAGTAGCAAATTAATTACTTATTTATTATCCACTCAGCTAGAATGCATAATTAATATCAAGAACAGTAAAAAACCAGATGAACAAGATGAGAAGGTAAATACAGCGTAATAAAACATACCGTACAATACAGAATAATATAAAGAATGGGTCGATGACTTTCTTACTAGAACGCCAAGTTTTACAAATGCGGTAATTCGGCCAGCACCGAAGTAGTGATGAAATATCATTTCATGTTGCATATTTTTAACAATCACTGCATTTGAATTGCATAAAAAACCTACATACACCTTTATTTTTAGAATAAAGGAAACAAAATTGTTCTACCCACTCAACATTAACATGATGTGTCTACTGCTCCTTATTTCTATTTTCTATGGCAGCTCTCTGCTTACAAATCGAAACATAAATTCATGAAATGACAAGTAAGAAAAGAGGTTATAGATTTAAATGGTAGCACGCCGTAGCTGGACAATGTATTCGAGGATAAGGGAAGCATTTCGTTGTATGCTGAAACAGATGTTTTTAGTAGTTGAAAACTGACTAATCTAATCATGTACTGTTATTTAAATATTGTTAACATTCCTTTTTTTTTTCAAAAGTTAAAATTGTACAGTTCGTACAGTTTTTTGTTTTGTTTATAATATTGATGGGCACTGTAACCACTAAAACATCAGTTTAGGCTGACAGAAGCACAAAAGGTAGTGAAATTTGATGCACATAATTTGCTCTGCTTGAAGTCTCTTAATACAGAAACTTTCTCACCTGTCATGAGGAGGCAGTGGCGGGACTCTTTCTTCCTGCGGGCCTCCCTCCTGGTGATTATTGTAGCGACGTAAATCCGCTGTATCCACCGACTGGGAGGTGGGCAGGCCGCGCGGCCTCGAGGAAGCTTTCTTCTCTGCAGGGCCCTTTTTATTGGTCCCTTTCGTGGGATCCTCTTTCTTTGAGCCTCCATGGCTGGTTGGAAGGCTCGAGCTTCTGTGGATCGTGAAGCGTTTGATGCTAAACGGCATCTTCATCACTAGAAAAGTAGAGAAAAACAGGGTTATTAAATGCCTGTACCTTTACATGATCTGTATGCTGCTATACGAACTTAAAATATTTAACATTATTTTATTACATACAACTTTTCAGGTAACATATGTGCTTAAATCGCCAAAGAAAAATAGCTTACGTACCTGTCTACGGATTTAATGCAAGATAGGTTTAGGTTGCTACTTCGTAGAGACGATGGTCTTTTTTTGTCGTCATAAAATTTTGTGGCATAAAAGTCGGGAAGTCCCTTTACGACTATTTAGCAACGTTTAAACAATAGCCAAACAGTGAATGGAAGATTGAACACGCGTAAACATGTAGCTACCTCAACAAAGCCATCGACCGATGTTTCTTCGCTGTGATTGGTCGGCTTTTATACCAAGTAACATAACGTTCAAAAGTTAGAACATTTAGCCAAATTCTTAAACCAGTGTTTCTGATGTAGCAAATAATTGCCTAGCAACGAAACTCGGTTTAACCATATATGACTTTAAAACCAAGGTGTGAACGAAGTTTTATGTCATGTTTCAGTTCTATAATTTTAACTAGCACTAATAGAGTCGGTATTAGTAGCATTTTTCTAGTGTTATTATAGATGAGAACGCTTACTGCGCCACCTGTGGAAAACGGCGGAGTTAGCGTTCCTATCTCGAAAACTGTACGAGATAGGAGGAAAAAATAAATTACGAAGTTGTAGAGCGTCATCGATTCAGCATGAATAGACACTTTGTGGTCATGGATATAAAAATAAAACACTAAAACACACATCTGTTTCTTTGTGATTTCCGAAACCGTGTCGTCACGAAACTTGAATAAACGGAGAAAGGATTATCTTTCGGACGAAAAACAGGTCCGCATCGTGGCACAGTGGTATCACTTGTAATTCACGATCGAGAGGAATGTGGTTTAAACTCCACACGATGCATCCTGATTGTCTTTACAAACAGAGTAGACAATATGCAGATCGTGTACAATCGTGTAGCAAAACGCATCAACTCAACTCAGTTTGATCTTGAGGGGGGGGCGAAATATTTGCATTATGCAAGCAGTGTATGAAATGTGACAGCTGTTAACCTGAGACAGCTAATAAAGAAATCTCCTCGAGATTACATGTTGAAGTTCATGGTCATGGAGAGATTTTTTCAAAAAATGATTATTTTGATATGGTTATACTTTACGCTAGGCCCACCAGGGGCCGAGCGGTTAAGACGCTGAACCCTGGTAGTTCGGTCCGAGGTTCGAATCCCGCGAACAGGCTGGCTGCATGGGTGTTTTCGTGGTTTTCCCGATGTGTAACGTGTATACGAGCCAGTTTCCCTTAGAAAGTCCTCCATGAAGGCATCCCTCTCCTTAGGCAGATAGCCCTAGTGTGCTTTTCCATAATTAAATACACCAAAATATACTTTACGCTAAATATGAGCGCAAGGCACGTTCGGCAGCGCTGTTGTATCGGCACTTTTTTCTGCAGGCTCGCATTCACGCAAAACCATCAACAGGCATAAAACATTTAAGAGAAACAGGCTGCATGACTAGTCAACTTCCATTCGGCAACCAACAAAGGTATAGAGGAAAGTACAAGCTAAAATTATATTATCATAAGCCCTCACATATCCGAAAGAGCAGCACAAGAGAGAGAACCAAAATCTGTGACTCGTCGAAGAGACGCGTTTGGAAAACTCAAATCGAACTAGGTGCTCATCTATACCAACCAACACCTCATAAGGCATTATTAGTCAAGGATGCCGATAGACTTTTCGTATGATGAAACTGTGCAACTTCATCATGAACCAGACAGAGGTCCAGACAAGATTCTTGGCAGGTATAGAATGGACAGATGAGGCATGGTTTTCGCGGATGAAATGCACAATAAGCAAGAAAACCTTTACTAGGCACTGAAAAAATCCATTATGTTCTTCCGACATCAAACACGAATTTAAATTAGCAGTTAATGTGGAATTTGCAATAACTGGCTAATCAGCCCAATATTTTACCAGTTAACCACGACATGATATTTAGAACTTCTGCAAGACGTAATACTCGATTTTGTTTAGTACCTTCCATTGCTTCATCACTGGAACAGATGGTTCCAACGTGACGGAATAGAGGAATCTGGAGAACAAATAATCGGGTAAGGTGGTTTCGAAGAGAGACCTTTACATTTACCTGACCTCAGTCCAGTGAACTTTTACCTGAGATAATACCTCATATAGCAGATGTATCATTGCTCCACAAATATTGCAGGACTTCCAGTGACGTATTACAGATGCTTTGCAAATGTATCACGCGCTATGCTACGATATGTGTAATAAGATGTTCTAAAAAGGTTTAAAATGTGCATTTCATATGATGGAGAGAAGGTTGAACATCATATATAAAGGTATCTTCTGCTGACTAGTTGTTTCTAAGATCGATTCATCACGTCATTGCGTAGGAAATTGCAAACAAACAAACGCTCATTTAAAGCGTTTTGTTCTTCACATTCATGTTCACGAGGTACTAAGTCGATAATACTCCACAACTTTGTCATTCACCATTTCCTCCTATCTCATACAGTTTTCGAAGGTAGGAATCTCCACCATTTTCCATCTAAGCGGTTCTAGTAGCACATAGCTACTTTACTATACCTTGATATACCATTTATGACTATAGGTGCATCCGTTCGGCAGCTAAAGAAGTAATACTGTACTTTGGTGAGAACGCTATATGAATATATATATACATATAATTAAAGAAAAGAGATATATATACATATATATATGCTTTAATAGTCTCCCAAATTAAAATATCTGACATAAAACTAAATAAATAACTCATAGTTTAAGTAATGACTGTGCACTAAATTTCCAGAACAGTATTATGGTTTTAAAATTACACTTTCAACCCTACCCCTATGACTGCCGGACCGAAGGGCCCAGGTTCAAATCCCGGAGAAGGAATGGATTAAGTTGTCTATCCATCCATAGGAGGAGACATTGACCAACCTATTAGTTGCCTTAGTTAGTTTGTCTAAGTTAGTATTGTTAGTTAGGCGACCACCGATTCCGGCCTCAGTAGTGGCCAAAGCCTATAACAGCTAGTGCCCGCCGTTGGAAGAAAAGTATTTTCTCAAATCTAATGGAAAATAAATGAAAAGAGCATATTATAAATGCATAAAAATTTCTTGATTAAAAATGCCTTCTGATTTATAATAAAAATTTCAACGTCTAACTAAAGCTTTTAACCATAACAACAAAAGGTAAAATGGCGTAACTAACAACAGTGTGAGTACACTTGTGTTCAGAATTAAAGAATAACGTTTTATTTCGAATTTATCCAAAATAAAGGGTAACATCATTTCATTAAATTTGATATGTTTACAGTGTAATATGAAATTGCAAGATATACCACAAAACTGAAAAAAGACGCATTAATCCCCGTGAGTAATATTGATGTCATCAGCACTCTTTAAAAATGGCGTCGTAAGATGACGACTAAAATGAAACAATAGGGGATGTGCTCAACTCTAGCAGATATGCAAAAACGAATACCATCTTGGAAATTTTAAAATCTCTGGATTTTCATTACTTTTAACTGAATGTATGTTAAGCTTGGATAAGGCTTTATCATTGGATATGTGTTTGGCAATTTTTGATTTATGGTGGCCGCTAGCACAAAAGAAATATTGTGACAGAGGGTTCGCTTTAACGAGTAATGACGGCACGCAAAATCTTCTTATTGCACGTATAGGAATCCAACAGTTAAGAAGACATTAGAAGATTGTAAGGTCCCTCACTTGAAATTCTAAGATTAATGTTGGAAGTGAGGAACCTAGGAACTGATAAGCGAATAATCGCTAGAGTTCGAAGACAGGAAACAACAAGAGAGAAGGGTAAATAACCCTTTATTATTCTATAAGATTTCACAAAACTCCGCCTGGGAGTGAACAAATAAAGTCCGCACTTTGGACTTGAACTAAAAGACTAAGAATTAAACTAAATAAGATTAACTAAGTATAGCCAAAGCTATCAGTTCATGAGAGTTGGTCCCTTAACTTATTTTACTACGAAGCTTAGTAAGGGCTGAGTACTGCCGAGCTATAACAGCTTTGAGAGAGAGAGCGGCCAAAAAGGCAGACGCGCGTAGTTCAGAACTCTGTTCTCTCTCTCTCTCTCACTAAGTACTTCGTGTTTAAATAACCGCTCCTTCTCATTAAATATTCAGCAAATTCCAACTACGTTCTGACCGGAAGTAGTAAGTTGAAGTTAAGAATTTGACAGGAAAGGAACTTAAAATTTAACTGTTAATAAAATTAACATAATCCTTACAAGATGATTTTCTAGAAAAAATTGTCTCATATTCACGTAGACAGGTAGAAAAGCAAAAACTTCCATTCAGCCAGTTCCATCTTACGATGTTTAGTTGCTCACTTCGAACTAGAAATTAAACTCAAACGCTCCAAAAAAATCAGAAACTAAGAAAACGTATTGCAGTGTAAAGAAATAATTAACTAATATGTAATTTTTCATTAATTCTTATAAGCATGTTTTTTAAAACATTAAATAAGTACGAAATGAAAAGAACCAGAGAAAATTTGGCTGCTGATATTTACATGCAATCTATTTAAATACGATAAATATTCGTTTAGAGAAAATTTCATCTCCAAGAAAATAAACTTCAATACTTCGAAGAGTACCATTTATCAAATCGTAACTAAAATACTGAAATTAATTTTTAGAATAAAACTGAAGCTTTCAAAAAAATTAAATTTTATGAGAAGAATAAATTAGTCTTAACATTATTATTCTTTAAGTTTCAAACTACTTGATTAAATCTCTTAAAGGAATTCGGACGTTTCTGCTACGTTGCCTAGGAAACGAATAATACCAGGCATTCGCCTTTTATGCAAAGGAATCATTCTTGAAATTCTCGCATAATTCATAACTAATTTTGCCACTGCGTCATATGTTAAATGCAAAACGCATTCTCGGAGCTATAACAGCAA